TTATTATGTAAATAGTTACATATTCAGGACTCAAATCCTCATTATCCCCATGCCTTTAGAGTAGGGCAGACTCTTGTCATAATATTACATTATAATCCTTTCCAGATGGAGACATAATGATTCTTGTTGCATTTTGAAACAGTGTGACCAATGTGATGATTTGATCCAGCAGTTCCACTCTTCCAAAACTACTAAGGTGCTTGCAGATATTTGATATTGAGCTATTTTGGCCCTCAACTGCAAAATGAATAAGTCAGGCAAGGTCTTTGAAAAGAATTTAATAGATACATCTCACTCTCACAGAGAAGCATGAAACTCTCCTGCTAAAATGAGATTGGGTTCATGAAAGGTCACAGTTATCTTTTAAAGTAAGTTTTTGCAGGTCTGCAGAGCAAATACTGCATTAAAGATACAGGTAGAATCTCTGTTTTACTGATAATGCTCCAAGTTTTCTTTTTTCTCCAAACAGTGATAGGGCTTCTTGTAAGCTAAGCAGTCAGCCTTATGACTTGTGCTTTCTTGCTTCATACTGATGTACTGAACTAGTAAGGCATTGAGCAGTAAGTCCAAGAAGAAGCATAAGCTGCCAAAATAACAGGAAAATACTTTATTATTATTACTTTATTGGTGACTTTTAAGTCCTGTCATAATTTTTTCAGAAACTGTTGTGACACACATAACCATCCAAGCTGGCTTAACTCTAAAGCTCATTTTGTTTGCCTTTATAAGCACAAATCACATGCAGATTTGGGGAAGGATCTAAACAGGACTTCATATAGATACTGATGTATGTAGGTGTGCAGATGTCTATACATAGTTATCTATCTATTTATCTATCTTTACATACAGATATATGAAACATTTATAATAACTATCCTCCATTCCTAAACTTCTACCAGAAGTACCTTTCCACTGAATTTGGTGTTACACAAAGAGCATTGCACATGTGACATAGGGGATGGGTTAGAAACCTCTGGTGGGGAGACAGGAGTTTAAATGCATTCTTGGGCCTGGCATCTAAATCAAAACAAGCTTCTTCCAGGCTCCTAAAGCTTGCTCTGAGCCTGCAGATACTTCTCTAGGCTACCTGGGCTGGGGTGATTCATAAATGACAGTGTCATTAGATCATATGGAAAATATAGATTGGGAAAGCCAAAATTGTCCTTGCTGAACTTTGGAATGTACTTGTATTTGGTAAAATAGAGGCCCAGAGGATGCTTGTCATTGAGTCATTGAGTAGCACAGAAAGGAATGCAGTAAAACTTCCGTGGGGTCAGGACAGGATCTGTTATGCTCCTACTGTGACAGAAGCTCCACAGCAAGTAAAAGGTTTAAGGGGATTGCTCCATCAGGCCCCTGCAGGAAAGCTTTAAACAATAGTGAATGCAGGAAGGATGTCACAGGTGATAGAGCATGTTTGTGCCAAGCCACAGAGTAGAAATCAGCACTGGCTTGTGAACACCACATATTTTACGAGCATTCAGTATGTTTTTAAAATAATCCCTTGGAATGCAGAGCTGAGCATTAAAACTAATAGCAGCCTGTGTCAATACTGAGTGGTTTTACACTGTAATAGTAAAATTCAGTGGTCACTTCAAAGGTGACAATTAAAAGATGCTGAAATGAAAAAGAGTTGGAGGTTAGCACTGCTTTGAGAGAGCAGAAATGAAAGGTGAGAGCAAGACTGAAGAAGAAGCTGACGCAGGTGGTGAGGGAGTTGGGTTTTTGAGAGAAGAGGGTGTTTCTCAGGAGCAAAGAGCCAGTGGACTCTGCAGGTGCAGCTCCTTGGCCCCACAATGGAGAGTTGTCCTAGCAGCTGTAGCTTGGGCGTCAAGTCTCCATTCTCTCAGCTTACCACAGGAGCCTATCCCAGCCCAGCAGAGCTGCTGGAAGTCTCCTTATAGCCCTGCAAGAGCAGCAATCCATGCAGAATATAGCTCTGACTTTTGAGGAGTTCATCAGAATACATAATTCACAACCAAAAGAACTCTTCAGACCTGAAGGCAGATAGGAAATCCATCTTTGTTAAGGTGCCACTAGGCAAGGACACTTCCATTACTCATACAGTTCTGCTAGTGGTAGGAGTAGTTTTGTGAGCAGTGTGGCATTAGTGACTTACTGGGGTTGGTGAGGAGCCAGTTTAGTTTTTATTTGTCTCAACACTGATTGTCGTGTGGGGGAGAGGGTGCACATGTGCCACATGAAGGAGACAACTAGAAGATGGGGGAAGCCTTGTCTCTGGGGAGACTTTGCCTGGAAACCATTTCGTGTCTCACATGGGCCAGCAGGAGACACTGTGCTCCCCAGAGAGGCTTCTCCAGTCAGATGGGGAAAGGTCCCCAGCAAGGGACTGCAGTGGAAGGTTGGACTGGGCCAGTGCTCTCCTGCCAGCAGGCAGACTTGGGGACGGGCCAGGGGGCATAAAAAGTAACTGCATCACAAGCTCTGGGGGCGTTTTCAGACTTGTTTCCTTGGGGCTTGGTGATTCTGGGGCTTTTTGAGTTGGGGCTTTTTGCGTCTGGGGGCCTCTTGAGCCTTGTGTTTTTGCTTTTGCTCCAGCCTGCTGAGGTCTGCACCTCTGCCCTAGCCCTGGCCTGCCTTTTGTCCTTTTTCGCCCAGGCTCCAGTCTGCCTTTTGTCCTTTTTTGCCCTGGCTCCAGCCTGCCTTTTGGCTCTCCTGCCCCTGCTGGCACTTGCTCACTCCCACATACTCGCCTTCCCTCTGTCTGAGCGACTGGCGGGACACCAGCTGACCTCTGAGCCCCGTGTCCAGCCTGTATCGGGCCTTACCCGTTCGCCCGTCCCAGTTACCGCCTGTCCTGCCTCCCTGTGTCCCTGCCTGAGCCCCCGGCGTCCAGCCCTGGCTGTCTCCGGCCCGGGCCGCTGCCGTGACACCCCCGTGCCCCTGTCCAGGGTTCTGCAGCTCCTGGCCGAGCGCTCCCCGTGTGCGGCCGCCGGGAGCCGCGGGGGCCGGGCCTGCCGGGCCGCGCCGCCCCGGGAGCTGCGCGGGCTCCCCGGCGGGCAGCGTGAGGTGACCCCGCCACATGGACAGCGACAGCGCTGCCCATCCTGCTGTGGGAATGCCCGCTTTCCTTCTCTGCCTGCCGTCTCCTCTCTCCCTCCCCATTCATTTTCCATTTTCCTTCCTCCTTCTCTGTCTTTTCTAGCCCTCTTTAGTAGGACAGCTTCTTTTTTGTTGTTGTTTCTTTTGGGTACCAATAAATAGTTCTCAGATACAAGGTCTTCTCGGTTGACTTAATTCCATTCTAGACCATCTAGTTTTAAAATAACTCCTCTCAGTTCCCCACAATAGAACGTGATAGGGTTCTTTCTCCATAACTGATACGTAGCTACTTGTCTTTCACAAGTATGAAAAATGCTAAAATGGTAGAGAAGTAAATAAAGCTCTACAGTCTGGGTGTGAGAAATGCTAAATATAAGTGGCTTCTGCCACTCATATATGTCATGTTTAGGAGACCAGTTCCAGAGGTATTTAATGTGGGAGCCTGGAGCAGGATGTTCTAAGCCCTGGCCTTTGCTTGATGTGATCATGATGGGATTGTGAATTTGTAGTAAGATAGCAGGCATATTGCCTTTTGGAGGGCTTGACTAAATGACAGCAAGAAACCCTGGAACAGATCTCAATAGGCCAGTGATGACTTGGAAATAATACATGCATCTTCATTAAGTCTTCTGAATTATTCCAGTGTTATTTTTGCCTGGCAGCATAGCTGAGGGCTCATTCTGATGTTCCTTAGATTCGTTCAAGCATTCAGATCCACTGGATATGCCTTTGTGCTCAGATTTGTATTTGTGGCTGTCCCAAAGTTTTTCAGGACATAGCACATCACCAGAAATTATTTGTTATTTTAAAACTACTGAACTGGAATTCAAATTCTGTCCAAATTCAAATTCTCTCCAAATTTGAATTCTCCATTGCCCATTATTAATTTTCCTTTCATAAACTTTTATCAACTGACAAGGCAGCACTGAGGCAGTGCAGCAACCAGGGGACGGAGTCAGCCATTCAGAAACACATCTGAGAGTCACCCTAGACTCTGGCTGGTGAGTCATACTGAGCTGTGAACACATCCTGAACGTCAGTCCTTTCACATGCTGAAGGAAATGTTGCAATTTTACTCATCTGATCTTTATATTGCTCTCAGGAGGCTTTAATCCCAATGAGTTTCTTTTTACAATAACTCAGGAACACATAAAATCTCCTAAATTCTGGCAGAGTTCTTGCTGAGTATGGCATTTTAGGATCTTAATTCTGCGACATGATGTGTTGAGCACATGAAAATATGAATTTGCTCTGCATTGTAAGAGGCATCCTACTCATGAGTGTATGGGGCTCTGCAAAGTTTTTCTGTCACCTCTGAAGCCTAATAAGTCTCATTGTGGGTGGAAGTAGAGAGTTAACAGCTAAAGACTAAACATTTTGCCTTTGGGTGACTCTTAGCATGCTAATTATAATGCAACTTTTGCCTGGAAGATGATAGATGCCAGGGGAAGGATGAGGAAAGAGAACAAACTTCTTTACTGTAAATATTGGTTGTTGAAAATATCCTGGAAGAAATATTTCTGAGGGTCTCAGCTTCACCTTTTTCTTAGTGCTGTTGGTATTGCTGGGATGGCACTGACACCCTGTGGTACTAGATGCTGTCATTCAGGAAGTCACTGTAAGATTGCAATAGCAAAAAGTCTAGGGATGTATTTAGTTCCTCTTCACAGATCATCCTCTATCCTTCCCTGAATGCTTTGCAATAAGTAGGATGTACTTTCCTGGATTTAAATGTCCTGGAAGTAGCTCTGGTCTGATTGACATCTCTTAGCTTTACAGAAGAGGAATCAGCTGTACCAGCAAATGAGGATCACATTGCAGAGCACCTTTGCTGTCACTCAGTGAAAATGCTTGTTCTTCTCTGGTTGCCCTGGTGAGCCAGGAGAGCTTGTGATTGAAGGGGGCAGTGCTCATCTTGGGTATTTCCTCTTTTTCAGGGGGTTCATGAGTCGAAAGGTGTGACTGAAGATTATTTGAAACTGGAATCCCTGATCCAGAAAGTTGTTTCTCCTTACTTGGGCACGTATGGTCTGTATTCCAGTGATGGACCCTTCACACACTCTGCCTGTATCTTGGGTAAGAACAACACAGACTCCATTTGGCACAGCACAGAGGACTTCCCAAAACCTTCCTCCATGCTGGGCCAGGGCCTGCACAAGAGGTGACTGACAGAGCTTACATCAGCCTTCTTTTCTAAAACCATGCTCTGCAGAGTCACAGTGAAACTGGCAGTGGCAAAAGATGAAAACAGATCATCATCATAAGAGTGCTTAGTAATAAAAATCAGTAAAATGAATCTAGAATGTGTTTAGAATTTCTATTCCACCATGTAGCAAGAGAGCTTTAACAAGGATGCTAACACAGGATGAACAGTGAGAGGAAGAAGCAAGAAGCCACTTCTAAAGTACTCAGTAGTTCATTTTCCTTAGTGTTCATTAGTACACAAAGATTGTACAAGGCTGTTAAAATTAGGGAAGAGCACAGGAATTTGTCTTAGAGAAGACTAACACATAAGCCTTCAAACATATAAAAGCTTTCTGCAGAGTAGAAGGTAATCTCAATGGAGATGAGAAATACACAGTGGGTCTCACATGGCAGGGGGAATTCATATTATGTGGAAGGAAAAATCCCTAGTTTCATGTGAATTTCCTCTGGAGGTTATTGAATCTTCAGTGCTGAGACACTTTTTACCCGTCATGTACATCAGCATCTGTAAAGAGCAAGGGAGAAATGTGGGCTGGCCTGGTGGCAGCTTGAGTTCCCTTCAGCTTAATTTCTGATTCTTGGACCCTGAAGCCTTTGGTGACTTCTGTGATGGCAGATTTAGCCAGGATGAAGGTGGAATATCCTGTATGGCAATGCAGTCTGTTGAAAATACAAGGGGGATACTGCCAGTGTAAATGAAAAAGGAAATGTGGTAGTACCTGAGTATTTTATTGTAAATACTGGGGTGGCCTGCCTGAACAGGGCAGACAGAAGGGAAAATAAGTTCAATTGCCCATTTTCTCTGTAGTCAATTCAGTCTTGCTTGTCAGAAATGGTCAATAAAGTAATTGATTTTCAGTTGAAGCTTAATGGCAAAATGGTTGTGTTGCAGCAGGTTGAAGAAACAAATGAGTTTTACATGAATAAATAGAGGCTGGTTATTTATGGAAAATTGTTCAGGATTACTGCTTTGTATTCATTGCTTGCCATTAAAATGCCGCAAGCATTTAAATGGTGCCCCAAATTGACCTTTTTTAAATACAACCTTTTGTACATCAAGATAGAAAAAATGCACCCAGAGAGAATAAAGCACCAGTGAAACGAATTGTTAGTTAATAAATGTGTTATTACATGACTGCAGAAAATAGCAAGGTTTTGGTGGGCTGGGCACTTCCTCTTGCAGCAATACTCCTGAAATGGGTCTTGCTGTAATCACTGAACCTGGATCCAAGGGAGCTGAGTGTGTAAGTAGCTGCTTCTGTTAAACTAATGTATCTAATTCTCTTCAGCTATTTTGCTAGCATGTTGCATGTTTTGACCAGAGTTCATAGCCCCAGGAACCTGTTTGCCAGCTCAAACTCCTAACAAAGAAAAAGTCCTAAAATTAACTTGGATCAGATTGTTTCACTGCTGAAGCAGATACAACTGCAAAATAGAATCTTAAATACAGAAATTGGCTTTTTTAGTAGTACAGAATATGATCTGTGTCCAGGTAAGCACTTAATTACACAATAGCATAATTTTGAGATTGGAATATGTAAAGGATATTGCAGAGCTTGCAGGGAGCATATACCAGCATCCTGATTTAAAGCAGGCAGTATGCAGTGGTTGTTGTTGACTTCCAGAGGGTAATTTGATCCCCTGCTCCAGCTGTGCCTCTTTCATGGGATGGCAAAGTGAGATTAGCAGAAAGAAAGCTTCAAAAGTGAGACCTATTATTCACACAACTTGTTCTTCTAATAGCAGGAGTGAATCTGAGCACTGAGACCTGCACAGAGTTTGAGTGGTGGTCATTTTGCTCATGATGGTCATTTTATTCACACTGTCAGGACACTCCAGCACTAAACCACTGCCAGAGAGGGAGCTCCATGATCACCTGCTGCCATCTGCTGCTTATCTTTTGGGAAAATCCCACTTGGTTAACAGCATTCAGGCAATCACTACTTGATTGAATGCAGATTTTCTCCCCCATAAAGAGGTTTCTGTGGGCACTGCCCTCTAGTTAACATTTTCAGACACTCTTGGTGCTCTCCCCCATGTGGTCTCTGAACAATACTTGGAAAGTTTTTCCAGAATTAGTAGAAAAACTGCATGTCTTAATCCTCAAGCTCCAAATTTGAAGAGACTTTATTTTCCCAGGATGGGTGGAAGAGTTAAATTTCAGCTACTGTAGATGACTAATTACTTCTATGGCCTGAAAAAAACCAAAATTGCACTTTCTGTTCTTGTCTAAATGAAGTAATTACAGCTGTATATCACCTCTCCCACTGAATTCACTGTTTTACTTCAGCTGCTGAAGTTGTGTGATTATAAGAGAATCTCAGTTACTATTTGTAAAGATAGATTTGGGGTCTTCAGTATGCTAAAGAAATCTAGGAAATCTGAAGCCTATGAATCTACAAAAACAGCAAAATGTCTTCTTCTAGAAAAGTTTATTCAAGAAAAGCTTATGAATATTCAGGACTTCACATTTCTTTTGAACACTCATAATTATTAGTACCATAATAGGAGACTTTGCAGATATTACTCTGGATCTTTGTTTACAGAGAAGCGGTTCTTCAGACGTTCCAAGTCGGGTGACATCCTTGCCAAGAACCCTGTGGTGCGATCAAAGAGCTACAACAATCCTCTGCTGACACCAGTGGCTGAGTATGAAACTGAGAGCATAGCTGCCAACGGAACTGGCATCCGAAGGCACTCCGTCTCAGAAATGACCTCCTGCTTGGAGCTCCAGGGGTACTCCAACCTCACCACCATCATGGACAACGGTTCCAAGAGCTCCATGACAACCATGAAAAGCTCACTGCCAGGAGACCAGGAGAGGCCGAGCACTGGGTCAGTGCAGTGCTCCAGCAAACTCAGCACAGCTGAGCAACAGAAAGGACTCTTCCACTCAATTGGCGACCCACACAGGTCTTTTGAGCTTGACAGAGACACTTCCTTACTTCCAGTTCCCTCTTCCAGTCCTGAAAACATAGTAGATCAGATTTTGGAGTCAATCGACTCTGATTCTGAAGGCATTTTCATTGATTTTGGCCGAGGCTGTTCCAATTCATCAGCATATAATGTGGATGTGAGCAGACAGAGCATCATGTGAAGGATATTAGGAGACAAACTGTGGGGTTTAATATTATATATGGAAGTTATTAAGGCAGTGAGTTGGACTGTGGGCAAGCTGTCTATGCCTGGGCAGAACCTTTGCCAGGTTATCATAGCTGTACTGAGCAAACACAGGTTTATAGCAGGTGGGAATCTGCTGAGGTGGAAGCAACTCCAACCACTTCTGCCCATCCCTGTCACCCTGCAGATGGATTTCCTATTTCTTTATAAACTTAGGGGTTCACAAATTCACAAGTGTCTGGTAAAATACTATTAGTGGTATTTTTCCTGGACAAACACTGCCAGTGTTTGTTCAGGAAAACACTCAGCAAATAGCTGTGCTCACTTCTAATTTTCTGAAGAGATTTCCTGCAGATGATGGGTTGTTCTCTGAACCGTAACACCTCAACCAGAGCAGAAACATATCCTTTAAAAAAAAAAACAAACAAACACATACACACACACACACACACACAAAAAAAAAAAAAAGGCTGTGGGCTTTCATGACACAGAATACAATAATAAAGAAGTCTCTTTTAATCTTTTTCTTGTACATCCTGTATGCACTCCTTTGCCTAATGGTGAGTTAGAGTTCTTGAAGAAAGGCAAATAAACAGAAATATGCTTCCTGATGTCACACAATGCCTGGTGTCCCATTTTCTGTTTTACTGTTTCCTCACCCAGTACCTTGTGTCTGGGAGAGTTGTCTTAAAATCAGCTTTCAAGTCTGTATTAATTTGCTCTGAATTAGGCACTTCTGAGACAGTGGCAATTCTGAGAAATCTGTAATGTCAACTCCTGAAGCATCTGTATAGAGAGATTCCATCATAATTCAACTTAATTGTTTCGTAAAGAAATGAAAATATGGCCTCTCAGGGGAAATCATCATTATATATTTACATTCTTATGGAAATACCATAATGTATCCGCTGTCAGTTATGGTTTTGGGCAGTGTGAACCTTGCAGCTCTTCCTCTCCTGAGCACACCCAGCTCTTTGTTTCTCCCTCACAGTACCATGGTGGTGTAAGAGTTGGATCAGTAGTTTTGCAGAGGATTGATGCATGTGATATTAAGGTGAAGTAGAAATCCTGCTGCACAATGCAGTTTTGATCACGGGGTTTTGCCTCAGTGAAGGCCACTCCATTTTGTGTCTGTGCTTTGGCGGAAGGAGTCAGTGGATATATCCTGAGCTGCTCAGCATTGATCTTGGTTTGGTTTGGGTAGTGCCTTGTGTTTTGCTCAGGGGCTGTTGAGCTTTGCTTTATACTTGCAGTGCTGACCCCAGCATTTGCCACACTCTTCCCCAGGCTTTGATTATGTTTCTGGACTAAAAGCTGTGCTTCTGACACCATTTCCTTTGGCCTCACCATGTGTTAGCTCAGTCTTTTGCTACCACCCTGCTTCCCTGCTCAAGATTTCAGCTGCTGGAGAGGTGTGCAGGTTCCCTGTAATGCAGAGATTTGAGAAGCCCAGAAGCCATCTGAGGGCCTCCCCCAGAAATGAGGCAGGGGTTTGGTGCCTGTTTTGCTTCTCCATGTTGGGCAAGTTCAGCTGTGCAGCCTGCCCTACAGGTAAGAATTTAAGTTAGATCATATTTAGAAGTTTCTCTTAGGCAGAGATAAATAATTGCTTCTAAATTCAGAAGTCTCACACTTCAGCCAGAGAACTCAGGATGTGGGGCAGAATCAGTGAGGAGGGACTAAAAACCAACTGTCTGAAATGCAGGTGTGGCACAATACACCCTCAGAGAAAGCAACTTCAGGGCCTGGGGGGGATCTTTGAGGTCCAGTAAATGAAATGGCGTAGGAAGCAGGCTATCAGACTATCCCTCTGGAACTGCAGCTAAATTTAAGTTTCAGATTACCAGATCATCCATTTGGTCTCTCCCTGGCCATGGCAATGCCTACACAATCCCACAGTGGTGCTCCACAGCACATTCAAGAGTATGTTGGCAGCTTGCTCAATCTGAGGTTTATTCATTTTCTACCAGTGGGTCTTTAGCCACCCTGTCCTTGCTGATGAGCCCTCAGTCTCAAGGAGCACTTGCCTTATTTGGCTGTGTGGAAACCACAGGAGAGAGTGGAACTATTGCTGAAATTGGATCCTGTGTATGATGGGAGTGATGATTTCTGAAAGTGTCCCAAAGTGGTACAAGCCACCATGCTGGCACCCACAATCTCCACCCTCGTTCCTTTTGACAAACACTGTTCTGTTTCCTAAATTATTATTTTATTTGGAGAAAAAGCATATCCACAGTCTTGTTCTAAGGACACAATGCAGGGGAGGAGAAGATAAGATTCAAACTCCTACATAAAAAATATAACCCCAGACATAAAAATACAGTGGATCAAGGCCTCTGCACACCTTCTTCCCTCAAGGAACTTTAAATATTTTAAGAGTCATAAGCATACTTAATTACTGGGGAATGTTTAAGCACAGTTTCAATGGAGGAAAGAAGAGGACTGCAAGTTCCCACTGAAGCTTTTGCATGGTTAGTGCCTTCTGCTCTGATGGAAGATATTGAATCCTCTTATGTACTGTCAATTAACTAACTTTTCCCACCTTGCACACATGAAGGTAGTGAATGAAAATCCTCCTCTGTTTTAGGTTATTTAGAGATTGGGTTCAAGACAGTGACTGCATTAAGAGATGTTCTAACAGCCACCTCAGAAAACCTCAAGAAGGAAATAGCCTTGTCTTCAGTGTTTCCACTTGTCCAAGACAGACTGCCTGGCATGGGTTCACTTCACCTTCTCACATGCACTGTTAGGGGAACTGGCTGTCCTGGGCTACTGGGGCATTGCAGCCAAGCACATCCAATCAGCTTTTACATTTCAAGCTCTTAGAGTAAAGTCTTCAAAGTCACAGCTCTAGCAGCAGCATGAGAAAGATATAGAGGCTTTCATTAACAGCACTTAGGCTCTTCAGAAGATAGAATCCAGGCTACTTCACTAGGACTACCCTGGAGAAGGACAGAAAAGAGAAATCCAACCTAGCCTCACCCCCAAAACTGTGATTACCAGCTGTGCTAGGGATAAATAAGTATTTAAAGAGGTTGGGTTCACTCACACTTACTGGGATTCATTCCCTCTTGTTGGGATGAACTGTGAGTTCTGCTGAGCTGAAGTAAAAGGCTTATAATTGTCCTCGTTAGGATAAAGAGGTCCTCAGTTGGCTTCAGTTAACATAAGTTGCCCTGATGTTGCTGTAATGGAACAGGCTGACTGACCTGTGGTTTAGAGCTTGCTGAATTAAATTTGTCACAGGTAACAAATGTGGTATTCACAGAAGTGCTTTGTCTGCAGCTCTACTTCTGGGAAATTTAATGAGTAAATAAGGAATAAATGCATTTTTACTTTCAGGGTTCAAGCTACACTTCCAGGGCCATTTTTTAATTAAATAAAACATTATAAACTCAGCAGGCTTGCTCTGAAGACCCTGAAAATCACAGAATGATTAAGGTTAAAAGGGACCTGCTAGTGGGGTCATCTGGGACAACCTCCCTGCTCAAGCAGGATGAAAATATATGACGTTCTGTTCCCTATTCCAACGGTGATAAAGTGGAATTGTTGTCTCTTCTTCAAGTTTATGTTAAAAAGTGTAGGCAGATGTGATTGAAAATTGTGAAACTGGATGTGATGGTCTTACTGGCCAAGCCCAGTGTTCCTTGACTTTAAATGCTGCACAGACATGAGACTACCTAAATTTGTAATCCTCCTACTAGTAATCCCAGTGCAAGCACGTCAGGGTTATGGAAATCTTATAGACAAACCACAGTCATTACAAAGGAGAAACACACGTCTAAGAGAATGGTGCAGGTTCTTGTCAAAATATATTTATAAAGTGATGGACTTTGAACTCTTCAAGTCCTGCTGCAGGGCAGTGTCACTTGAGCTTTGCCCTAAAGCGGCATTCTGAATATGCCAGTTATTCCTCTTCACCCTTCCACTGTTACTGTGGCACTTTTTGTCTTAATCCAAGAATCAAAAGCTGTTCTTTCCCTGGTTGGGACAGGTTCCAAAGTCCTTTGAGAGGTAATACAAAGCAACAGATAGCACTTAAATCTCCTGTCATATGGCACTGCTGGGTTAACATTAAGTAAGCAAAAGGAACTGGGAGTCTAAAAGAGATTAACCTAAAGAACAGCTCCTGAGCTCTGTGGAGAAGTAATAAAGCTCCCTGGAGCACTGCTGGAAGTAGCAGAATAATTGGCTGCAAATAATGCTGTCCAAACTGAGGGCTTTTTTGTCACAGAAATGGAGAAAATTACTTTCATTATTCAGTTAGCTCCTGGCACACTGGTTTCAATGGTGCTTTTGACTAAATCTGAACCTCTGAGGCACACAGAAGAGTTGTGTGCCAGCTTCTAAGACCATTATACAGACAGTGAGTATGTTGAAGTAACTCATATCTCTACAGTTCTGGTTAGAGATGTATGGATTGCCTTTACTAGGATAATATGCTGTAAGAACATCTTGAAAATTAAGGTGTCAGAAATTCTTTAGTGTTATTTTAGAGTTGTGGTCTGTAGAGGTGTAACTGTCATTCCAGATCTTTGAGAAAAGTACCATAATTTGGAGGCAGGGAGCAGAAAATCAGATATCAATTGAGCCAGCAGTGCTGCAAAGAACATATGTAGCCATTTGAATAATACAAAAATCCTTGCCATCGTACTCTCCAAGAGAACAAAATACTTGGTTTGCAGTCACAGTCTTGTTTGCACCTTTCTACAAAGTCAAAAGGACACTTTTAAAATGAAAATAAATCTGTCTAAAATAGAATAAAATCTGAAAATAATTCTATCTGTAATAAATCTATCTGAAGGTCCTCAGGCTCTGCCTCTGATGTTATCTCTGGGACCTCTGGGGGATTGAAATTATACCAAGAGGTTGAATTCCCCTAGGTATTGAGAGAAGTCCCAGAAAGTGGTTCAAATGTTTTATGTGGTCCCAGAATACTACAAACAAGTGGATATGAACTCCCCCAGATGCTGTGCAGTTGGTCTAGTTGCTCCACGGTTAAGCTTGGCTTCATCATTTAGACTAATGAGTCATCTCTTTGTATTTGCCTTGCTTGAAGGTCCTGCTTACTGTTATTGCCCTCAGAAGGCATCACTTGGAGTGACCAGCAGAAAGGAGCTGGCTTTGATGTGCTATCTCAGTGTCATAATGTTGGAGTTTTAGGAGTTCTCCTTTTGGTTTGCTTTTTTTTTTCCCTCTTCAGGAATTTTTCCCAATACATGTTGCTAGAAGACAATAACAACTGGATACTTAACAGAAGACAAAAGTTGTCAGCACAGGGGGAGGGGCACAGCTGGCTACTCTCTCTACCTGAGGTTTCCCATGCAGTGAGGAAAACTGGGTTGGGTGCAGGGCTCTCTCTCTCTCTCTCTCTCTCTCTCTCTCTCTCTCTCTCTCTCATCTCTCTGTCATCTCTATCTCTCTCTCTCGG